CTGCTGAACTTATAGCCAGATTTTAATAATAACTGCACATCTGGTGATAATAAGTAAGCAGAGGCTTGGAAATTGAGCCATACATTGAAATATTCAGTTATTTCTGAGGTACGTTTTGTGGAGGTACCATTGCACATTCTTTCATAGAGTTGTGCTATGGGGATTGGCAACTATGAGTGGCATGGTCTTGAAACTGGGTGAAATTTTTGTAAAATAGATTCCTGGCCTTCCATGAAAAGAGTCTGGCCACTTTCATTATGGCAGAAGGAGGGCTCCCTTCCATTTGTAAAATGCATTTGTCCGGGGTCGGTGCTTCCAATCCCGTAGTTACCACCAGAGGCCACTGCTGAAAACATGCAGCGCCAGAAGGTTCCAACACTGGGAGAGCCACCGAACAGACCACTGCCGGGTGCAGCCCTGATAAAGCTGACTTGGGGGTGGCCAGCTCCCAGCAAGTCCCGGCTCTCCCAAGCTGAGGCAAAGCCAGGTGAGGTCCCCATCGGCGGCTTAGCAGGTGGCAAAAACACCTGGCCAGCAGAGGAGTCAGGCAGACCCACAGCAGCAGCAGGAGGTGGGGGAGCAGAAGGAAGCTGACCCACCAGAGTCCCTGCCAGACACAACTCTGGCTCTAAGACCTGTGGGAGCTTTGACAAAGGGAGAAGAGGAACAGGCAGCCATGGCCCTCTTAGAGCAGATCAGGTAGTGCTGGCAGCCTTTTAAAAAGGTCCAGGGGAAGGGTTAGTGGACGTGCCAGGCCAAGGGGTCTGTCATTTCCCACGATTGGTTGGAGAGGGAAGATAGGCAGAGCCTGGGGCTGAAACCTCCCCCGTGGGAACATTTAAAAGGCATGCCATGGTGTGGCCAAGTAGGAAGAGCCAAATCTATTCCCAGGCAGAGGAAGAGGTAGCCAGCTGAGCAGAATGCAGGGACTGGGTGAAGGGAAACCTCCTCCCCTCTTGTTTTATTCTGAGGCTCTACTTGGGGCACTTGCTTCAGAAGAGGCAGCCCTGGACTCAGACCCAGGCCCAGCAGAGCCTGACATTTTCTTAATTCATTCATGAATTAATCATGTTCTTATCCTTTGGATTATAAACTGGTAACTGTACTTTGAGGCATATACTAAAAGAAGACCGACTTTTGGTTCTTTTGTGCCCTGTGCCTCCTACTTAAATTGAGAACATCCTTGCAGTGTCTTCCTTGGACAGGGATCCTTCTGTTACCCAAGATCCTTTCAACTGTTGAGGCCGGGGATTGCCTTTAGACATCCTGTTCCTGTCATGTTAACTAAAATCTTATCTGTGGCAACAACATGTTACATTATGTACAAAGAATAAGAATTGTGCCTTGGTCTAATCTGTGATTATATTCAAGGTTGTAGTCTGCTCTCTGACATTCAAAGGAGATGGGGCAAATGTAGCTAAGTGGAGATTGGTAGAAGTTAGTAAACTTACTTTAAACAAATCATGTCGGTTTAACAAAATCGCTCCCTTGATTGCACTATTAA